AGTAAAACTATCTTATTTGCAGATGACATGATCCTGCATATAGAAAATCCTAAGGAATTCATGCACACACAGAAAAACTATTAGACTAATAAACGAGTACAGCAAAGTTGAACGGTAAAAGATCAATAAACAAAAATCAATCACATCCTACATGTTCGCAATGAGTAAACCAAACTGAAATTAAGAAAGCAATTCCCCTCACAAAAGCACCAAAAAGAATAAAATATCAAGTAATAAATTTAAAAAAAGAACTGCAAGACCTGTACGGTGAAAAATACAAAACATTGTTGAAAGAAGTTAAGGAAGATCTAAACAAACGGGAAGGCATCCCAAGTTCGTGGCGTGCTAGTATTAAGATAGCAGTACTCCCCAGATTGACCTATAGATTCAATACAATCTCTATCAAAACTCCCAGCTGCTTTTTTGGAGGAATGGACAAACTGACCCTAAAATTCATACGGAAATGCAAGGGACCCAGAACAGCCAAAACAGTCTTGAAAAAGAACAGAGTTAGAGGACTCATACTTTCTGATTTCACAAAATAATAAAGAGCTACAGTAAACAAGACAGTGTGGTACTGGCATAAGGAGAGAGACACATCAATGGAGCAAAAGTGAGAATCCTAAATAAACCATACATTTGTGCTCAACTGGTTTTTGATAAAGGTGCCAAAACAATGTAGAAAGAATAGTCTTTTCAACAAATGGTGCTGAGACAACCAGATGTCCACATGCAAAAGAATGACGTTGGACTCCTTCCTCATATTATGCACCAAAATTAATTAAAAAGTGACCGTATGCTGGAGGAAAATGTGTAATGGGTTGGGTGGGGAGCTCTGATCCTGGTGGCAGGCTCTGGGGAAGGGGCAGCAGGCCAGCTGCAAAGGCGGTAAGAAGCACCTGAAAGTGAAAGAAGCCAATCACAAAAGACAACATACTGCATGATTTCATTTATATGAAACATCTAGATTTTGCAAATTTCATGGATACAAAGAAAGAAAAGCCAGGTATTTCTTCTTTAAATCAGCATTAAACATTCCAAACAAAATGCTATTTATTTAAGACAAGGCACTAGTAAAATGCCATACCTTGCCACATTGCTTGTAGGAGATCCCCTTTTGGGTACAGTACTCATAGATAAGGGCTGAGCCCTGTACACATAACTTCGCTTTCAGAGATTCGGGTTTATAATAAATTCCACTATGTATGACACCGCTGTTATGTCCAGTCTGATGAACAGCTATAGAACAAGAGAAGCAGGCTAAGAGAAAGGACATGACTCATACAAAACCTAGGAAGTGGGGCAACATACTTACAGTTGAAGCTATCAGAGACCACGATTCAAAATTCTGCCTGAGTTTGTTCTTACAGTCAGAGTACCGGTAGCATCCTCTGCAGCCAGCCATGGTGACTGTGTTACACCACTCCAGCCCATCTCTGATTTCAGCTACAACTTTGGTGCACAAGCCCACCCCTTATTACCAGCAAACCACTCAAGGGCCCACTGTAGCTCTCTGCATTCTGCCCCAGGGACTTTTCTAATGTTTGGGGGCAAAGGGACTCAATCTCCCTAGGGATAATCCTCAACCAACAGGGACAGAAACTGATGGATAAATGAGCCCAATCCTGGGAAACATTAGGTAGTTCCTCAGAGGTCTCAGTGGAATCAAGCTCACAGCTGCAGTATTGATAATCCACCCTCACGTGGTTTTTCCTCCTACCTGTTTACTCTCCCCACCCCCTCACTCCTGCCTCCTCGGATAACCTCACAAATAAATCACCTACACCCAAGTCCTAGTCCCAGGCTCTGCTTTCTGAAGAATCCAAACTGGGACACTAGCATTAACATTTAGCATGAAAGATTCAGAACTGATAAAATGAGCAGGCGCTCAGGTTAAGCAGCACTGATAACATACATACCTAAATCTTTTTCCTTTTCCAGAACACCAATGGAAAGTGCTGGATGTCGCAGGATGAGTGCCCTGGCAGAGGCAAGCCCCACAATTCCGCCACCAACAATGACTACATCAAATGAGCTTTAAGAGAAAGTCACCTTTAAAGTAATGCATGTTTACAGTAGACCTCATCAAACTTCACATGCATAATTTTCACCATCAATGGGCAATTACACGATTAATTTGTGATCATTAAAATCAAATATTTCTTGGGCTTTGTGCTATTTGGCTTTATGCTAAGGATGAATCTTTTAAAAGTTACATGTATGTATATAATCAGCTACACCCAGCAGACAGGGTGGCCAATTGCCCAAGCTGCTCTAAGTCTCTATTATACTCTGCCTGGCTGGCTACATGAGTGACTACTCTGTGTTAAATATCACATTCTCCTCTACCACCTATTCTTTTAAAATTCAAGTGCAGTTGTCTTGAGGATAAGTTAACATTAAGTCTTTAACGCCTTAGAGTGCAAAAATTTATAAATTTTTTTTCTCTGTTGAGAAGGAAATGGTCATTGAAAACATCAAACCCTAAGGAAACAAGTGCTCAGAAATGGGCTCAAACCCACAACTTTAGCCATGACAACCCTGATTACACAATCACTTAAAAATCTGGACAGGGTATACATATAGTCTACCTTTGCAATGAGAAGTTTAAAAGATTACCATTAGCACTGATCTCATGGTCAACAGATCTGAGTTTTACAGAAACATGGCCAGTGTTGCTTCTTCTACACATCATCTATTTCACCCCCTCTTGTACTATATTATTTCCATGTAAATCCTAAATATCATCTGTTAATATTTCAGTATGTTATTCTAAAAGGGCTCTTTATTCTAACTAAAAAAATGAACAACTTTTAGTATCATCAAATATTCACAATAAAACTTTTAGAAGAAAACAGGAGAAATCTTTGGAGTCTAGGACTACTTGATGAGTTCACACCAAAAGCATGATCTATAAAAGAAAAAAAAATGGATAAACTGGACTTCATCAAAATTTTAAAAGTCTCTGCAAAAGACCCAGTTAAGAGGCTAAGCCAAGACAACGAACAAATTGGGAGAAAACCATATCTCTGACAAAAAACTCATTTCTCGAATATATATTAAGAATTCTCAAAACAGGTCATTTAGAAAATGGACAAAAGGTAGGAACAAACATTTCATCAAAGAGAACAGATAAATAAATGACAAATAAACACATGAAAACATGTTCAATATCTTTAGTCATGAGGGAAACGCAAACTAAGACTACAATGAGGTATCACTACACCCCTAACAAAATGGCTTTAGAAAAAGGTGTTAACACCAAATGCTGGTGAGGATGGGAGGAACTGGATCAACTTACACATTGCTGGTAGGAATGTAAAATAGTACAGCCATTCTGGAAAAAGAGTATGGCAGTTCCTTAAAAAAACTAAACATGTGCTTACACTCTTGGGCATTTATCGTAGAGAAATGAAAACTTACGTTCCTACAAAAATCTGTACATAAGTGTTCATAGCAGCTTTATTCAAATTGACAAAAACTGGACACAGCCCAGATATTCTTCAACTGGTGAGTGAACTGTGATAATCCATACCACAGAGTGCTACTCAACAATTAAAAGGAATCCACTATCAACATTGGCACACCTTGGATGGATCGCAAGGACATTACCCTGCGTGAAAAAAAAATCAATCTCAAAATTACATACTGTGTGATTCCACTTATGTAACCTTCTCAAAATGACAAAATTATAGAGCTGAAAAATAGATTTGTGGTTGCCAAGGGTTAGAAAGGGTGGAAAGATGGAATAAAGCGGTATGTAACACAAGGGATATCTCTGTATTGTGGCATACTCTGTTTCTTAATTGTGGTGGCAGTTACACAAAGCAACACGTGATTAAACTGCATAGAAACACACACACACACACAAATGAGCGGATGTAAAACTGATGAAATCTGAACAAGTTCTGTGGATTGTGCTAATGTCAATTTCCCGGTTTTGGTACTTGTATACTAGCTATGTAAGATGTTATTATTCGGGTAAATTAGGCGAAGAAGGGTACATGAGAGCTCTCTTTTTTGCAACTTCCTATGGGCCTATAATTACTTCAAAACAAAAAGTATAAACAAAACTTTCACTCACCTTACTTTTCTTCCCTTAAAAAAAAAAAGTTCCCAAAAGAACTGCTTACATACCCCCATGCTGAATCACAAATCCTATCCGACTGTAATCCCCTCCAATCCACTAATACACAGCAGCCAGAGTCAACTTATGAACATCAACATTTAATCACTTCTTTAAAAGCCTTTACAAAGCCCCCCAGTGCTCTTAGTATAAAATTCAATGCGTAGTTAAAATAGAAACCCTGCTGTGATGCAGCTCCTCTCAGGTGTCAATCCTGTTCCTCTAAACTCCTTACACTCATCTTGCCCACATTCTAGTTCCAAGAGCTTCCCAGCTTTGAAACCTTCACATAGACAATTCCCTCTACAGAGAGCAGAGAAAAACAGTGGTTTCGAATGTGATCGCCAAACTTCAAATCATAGGACGCCAAATTCTGCAGGGTTTGATTAGCAACTGGGCTGCTTTTCACAGGGGCCAGTCTATGCAGCGTGTGTGTGCCACGAACTGACTGATTAAAGGTGAGTTTCAGATCTTCTAAGTAGTATCAGGGAAGTCGGCGAATAAACAGCATATTTGATTGCTTACAGTGTGCGAGGTCCTTTAATCCTCAAAACGACCACCTACGAGAGACACTAGGATCCGATTCACACTTGAGCCTTTAAGGAGCTTAATTAACCAGCCCAGAGCTGAATAGGTATTGGAGGACTTGTATTCAAAGCCAGAACTATTCTTGACCTCTACTCTGCCTTTCTTACTTTCTTCCCGCCCACGAACACTACGCATGATCCCAGCAGGTTGCTCCTGGAATCCGAGGTTGGGGCCCGGGCTTCACAGGATCCCGACCTTGTCCTAGGACGGGGACGTGGAGCAGGGGCAGAGTTCCAGCAAGAGGCACCTCTGAGACAAGCAGCGCCGGCGGCGGGGGCGGGCCAGCGGCTACTCACCTGGTGCTGGCTCTGCGGCCACCTTGGCACAGGAGCCAGGGCTCGCACGCCGCGGAGAAGCCCCCGGGAAAACCCCCGCGGGCTCGTCCGCAGACCCTGCCCAGGTAACGCAGCCCCGGCACCATCGCCTGCGCCTCCTCAGGCCGCAGAAGCCGGACCTTGAGACCAACACAGCCCGGGTCCCGGCGCTTCTTAGCCCCGCCTCCAGCG